GCCCAACCCAAGCGGTCCCAGCAGACTGTCAGACAGACAACGTCCAACCAGCAAGCGAGTCCGCGGGAACGCGACCAAAACTGCCCCCAGAAAGCGAGTCTCCGCAGCTGACAATTTCCGAGAGGTGGGGAAACCCCCCCCCCCCTCATCACGTGAAGCTACGGGGAAACTGCAGTTTCAAAGCCGGCATATAACGAGCGACAAGCGAAATTCAGTAGTTTGAAAATCAACCTAACGGCACATTTTATATACATCCAAAAAACATAAGAAAAATAAGAATATAACGTCAAATAAAATAAAAAGCATACATTTACTTTTTACTATTATCGCAAATATAAGAAATTTAAAAAATTAAAATAAAAAGGTAATATACATTACATATATACAAAATATTGAAACCCTTCAAGGGTTGAACGGGGGACATTGTCAACAGGCTGGATAATATATGTCGGGTAATGGGGCAAGCCCATTATCGCTCAGGCTGGGGGAAATGATATTGGGAAGGGTAGGAGGAAGAGCGCTAGAAAGTACAGGCAGCTAAAATTTTTCTTTAAGTCAAAGGGGGGATCCCAATCAATGAGATTTTGCCTAGAAGGGGGAGTGGGAAAAATGAATTTTGCTGGGGGCAATTGGGAAATTGCTGGCAGACAGATACTGCAAGGAATTTGCAACCCCTTTCATTGACAACGGAAACAACTTTTATGGCAAACATGAAATGTATGCAAGGGAGGGGGTACATCTTCTGGGCTGGGGTGGGACATTGCGACTCGATTGAGAAGGCCATTGGGGAAAAGCCCATGATTTTAAACTGATGGAAGATAGAGGTATGGGTGTGTGTGGGAAAAAAAGCAGTTGCAACACTTGGGGTTTACTAACAAATACAGGATGTAAGAAAAAAGAAAGATGAGCAAGTTTTAATTGAAGTGCGGGAACATAGATATTTTTGCTATAACAGAGCCCTGGCCAATCGAAGATAAGAGAGCCTCACTGTCACATCAAGGCTATAAATTATTCCCACGACGGGGCAACGGGAAAGGGGGGATAGCGATGTATCAGAGAAAAATTTAAATTGTTGTGTTAGCAAAAAATTTAAATAAACGTAGCCGCTAAATCGTTTGGTTCCCTTTTCTCGGGGGCCGAGAAAAACTAATTTTGGGGTGATTTACGGGGCCCCCAAATCTTAAAGGGGAGTGCAGTAAATTTCTATGGGACGAAATTCGAAGGCATCTACTACAAAATTTGTGCTAAGGGGAGATTTCAACAAATAGACAGATTGACTGGAGCTTTTTGACGGGAAAATTTTAGGTCAGGTGACTTTTTTGTACAAATCCGGATTGTTTTTAAAACATTTGGACAGGCCAACAGGGGAAATAACCTCCTTGCTTGGTTTTGCCAGTAGGGAAACACTAATTAAAATCTGAGGTTAATGATGATTTGGGGGGAAAGTGATCACAATCACTCATTTTTTAATATACATGGAATTCCCCTAATAATGGCAATCAAGTCCCCCGTCCCTGACTTTCGCTTGGGCTGTTTTCATAGGACGAAAAATTACTTAGGTGGGCTAAAACTGGAATGACCTGAAAAGGGTCAGGTAGGTGGTGATGGTTGCCGAAATTTTGCTTTCCAGGCATGTTCTAGCTGCTCATCAAAATTTTGTTCCAAATAGGGGAAAACAGATCAAACAAAAATGATCCTAAATGGATGAAAATAGATTAAAATATCGATTGGCAAAAAGAGATTATGGGGTTAAAAGTTGCAAGAAAATCGAAGACAACCCAAAAGGATTCTTTAGGATACAGAAGTAAATCAGGGACAAGAAGGCCCACTCAAAAGTTCTCGGTCGCTCACTGACAGTGAAAGGAAATGTGTAGAATTTTAACACATATTCCTCTCTTTTTTTACACAGGAGGATACCAGCGATTTTCCATAATGAAAATTTGTAGAACAGGACTTTAAAAACTGTGCACTATTGGGTCACAAGTGACATGGTCTTAGGCAAATATAGATAAATTTAAAACCTAACAATCCCCAGGGCCCTGATGACTGTATGCAAGGGTTCTAAAGGAATGTAAAGAGGTGCTTAGCACACCTTTGGCTAATCTTTTCCAACATATCACTAACAAACTGGCATGTGCCAGAATAAGTGGAAAATGGCAAATGTGATACTATTTCAAAACAGGTGACAGGTCCTTAGCTCGGTGCGAACTATAGACGCAATAAGCCTAACCTCATAGTGGGAAAAATTTATGAATCAATAATTGCCGAGGCAGTTCGTAGCCACCTTGAAAAAGCATAAATTAATCAACAATCTCAGCATGGTTTTACAAAGGAGGCGTTCCTGCCTTACGAAATTATTAATTTTTCACTAAGGTATTTGCAGGAGGTAGATCATGGTAATGAATATGAATATGGTGTATTATGGACTTCCAGTAATGCTATTGACTGGGTCCCACCACATCAGAGACTATTGAGAAAATTAAAGCAACATGGAATAGGAGGAGAAATTTTTCCTGGATAGAGCATGTTACAAATAGGCAAGCAGAGAGTTTGCATAAATGGGGAGAAAATCAGAGTGGGGACAGTGTCACGAGCGGGTGTTTCCACAGGGTCAGTGTTGGCCCCCTGCTGTCACAATACTACATAAACGACATAGATGAGGGCATATGAGCGTGACATCGGCAAGTTTGCCGATGACTACCAAAATAGGCCGTCGAATTCATTTCTGACGAGACATTCGACACAGTCCCAGGAAGATTTGAATAGACTGATGCAGTGGTCGGAGAGGTGGCAGATGCGTTTAATATAGACAAATGCAAATCTAAATGTTGGACAGGAACAATAACCATGCCACCATATAAACTAAATAATGTAGATCTATATTACAGATTGCGAAAAAGATTTGGGAGTTCTGGTTAGCAGTGATCTGGAAACCAAGACCAACAGTGCATAAGTGTTTCGCAATAAGCTAAAGAATCCTTGGCTTCATATCAAGAAGCATAATTATAGGAGTCCTCAGGCTTTTTCTCAACTCTAATTCATTCCTTGGTTAGGCCTCATTTAGATTAAGCAGCACAGTATTTGGTCACCTTATTACAGAATGGATATAAATTCTACGTGGGTAAATGTACAAAGAGGATGACAAAGTTGATCCCATGTATCAGAAAACTCCTATTAGGATAGACCTAAGGGCCCTGAATCTGCCTCTCTAGAAAGACGTAGACTTAGGGGGATATTATGAGGTGTATAAATGGAAGACAGGAAATAAATAAAGGGGATGTAAATAGTGTGCTG